GTTAAGCCAAGCAAACCAATTCAATAATGACTTGATCCTAATAGGTACCAATCGGTCTCGAGATCGTGACCGTTGAACTTCTACATTCACAACTTTTAAAATATGCATTATAATTAAAATAATAAAAAGAGAAAAACAAAAGAATGTAAGAGGCAAAGGGAACAGTTGAACCACTCCTACAAAGTGGATTTTTTTTTTTAATTTTTTTTACAAATTATTTCCGTAATATTAATCTAAAAGTTCGACATTAAATTGATTTTTAAAAAATAATAATATATTTTAAAATAATTTTGAACAAACGTGTCCATATTTGAATGTTTGCGCATTTTTTAAAATTTGGTCCTGATTGTTAAGAATATTTAGTAATAAATTATTGTCTTTTTACAGAGTTATTTTCTATTTATTGTTATTTCTATTTATTATTATTTACATATCTTTGTAATTTATTTGATTATAAATGAGATAACTTTCACATCATTTAGGTGCTGTGGATTATGCAAACATTCACATGCTATCAGAGCCATTTTGATTTAGCAACTCGTATCCTCTCTTTTAAATGGCTTTTGAAATCTTCTACTATTCTTCTGATTACTTTTCGGCTCCACCCTTTTGACCTCCAAATCATCCTTCGCCATATTATGTACATACAACTTCACCTTTTCCAAACATAACCTCTTTCATTTTCTTCCCAATTTTCTCCTTCATTCTTCATCCTTCACAAAAACCCTAATCTTAGGATCTTCATCAGCGTTCTCTTCGAAAATATACAGAATCTCGATAAGTCCATCGACCTTTTGCAGAGATTTACCTTTGGAATCTGTGCGCTGCACTGGCCTCTCCGCCAACCAAGTTGCTGCCACCCTTCTCGCCAAAATTGGCTCCTTCGCTCACTGTGGCGACTCTTCCGGCTTCAACATTGTCTTTGTCCCTTGCTCTAGGTTTCCCCTTCTACTTCTTGGGGTTAAACATATTCTCACCAGAGCCAAGGCAGCATCGTCGCAAAGCGACAATCCCTCTTCATGGGTTAGACATATTCTCGCCGAAATCAAGGCAGCATCGCCGCGCGATCCCTCTGCAATTTTTGATGGCCAAGAAAGTATTTCTCTACGTCTCCTCTAAACCAGGTTATTGACATCTTCATGAAAAGTGTTTCTCAACCTCTTTGAATTTTTTAGATTCAAGCTTCACGTTCGTTTAAATCCGACGCTTAGCTTGCAGTGGAGTGTTAAGAATATTTAGTAATAAATTATAATTTACCATTATATCTTTGATATTTTATTATAAAGCAAATCTTCTTACCATAGTTATCTTTCCATTTATTGTTATTTTTATTTATTACTATTTCATCGTTATAATTTATTTGATTATAAATAAGATAACTTTCACATCATCTAATTTTCTAAAAATTTAGAATATAAAATAAGTTATTAAATATTCTCTTAAAAATAAATAATTAATTTTTTTTTTAAGAGGCCTTAGAATTAGAGACTAAAGCCAATGATTAATTCACTGAAAGGAAACATGACACGACAAAGCCACATCATCATCTTTTAACCATATTGTGTCAACCCATGTGGCTTTAAGTTTTTAGCTTTTCTTTTGGTCCTTTTTCGTTCGAGAAATTTCTCCTAATATAGGTTTGAGAATCTGACATCGATACAAGATGATTAAGATACTTTATCGTCTGTCAAGAGGAGAATTTAGCATATACATTTTAAATACCTTGAACGGAAACTCATAAAAAAGAACACAAAGAGACAATATCTGATAACAGTGTGGGTTTGGGCTCTTATAATCATGTCCAGCGACGAGACCTTGAAAGCAGCTTCTTCAAGTGTCAGTAGCGGGACGTTCTGTCAATCGGGGAAGGTTTTTGGTGACAAGACCTGGAGATATCAGAAGTGAGAATGCTGACATGAGTAACGAGAAATCCTGTGAAAAACACGATCGCCTGCCAGTGGAAGGCTTTTTGCGTTCAGTCAATCTACGCAGAGTGAATCGGTCCCTAAGGAAACTCCGAAAGGGCTGCCATCCGATGGGTACACGAAAGTGACGAAGTTGCTTTGACTACAGAACCATGTCTGTCTCTTGGAGTGAATAGGATGATCGGGCCGAGGGCAGCCCCCTCTTCCCCTCACTCTCCTTTTTTACTTGTTGTCATGTATAATTAGGTTTTTACTATTCCAGTCATGTCAATACACTGTGTACCAAAATCATGTATATACTTATTTGCTTTTAGCATATAACGTTACTTTTTTACAAATTATTTTCGATGTATTACCTCGCTAACGTTTTTTAAAACACTTTCTCTCAAATATGATCAAGGATCGATCATACATTTGAATTATCTATGTCTTATAATTTTCATACGACTTACTTGTTCGTCGTGTTAGAACAAGTGTCGTATAACTACAATCACTGTCCCTCCACCACAAAAGTGTGATTGTGACATGTGGTACGTTAGTGTCGAGAAACTCATCAAAGGTCGGAGGTAGATCTAATTTTAATTATTGCAATACTTATTTCCTTTTTCTCAATTATTTTGTAGTAAAGTTATTTTTATATTTGGAAAATGGATATAACTCATTGCCTTGTATGCTTAATTGCCATTTTTAGAGCCAAGGTGTATCCACACAATTATTATATGTAGTTCCATACAATAATTTTTCAAATAATTAAAATAAAACATTTTAATAATTTAGATTCAATAATTATAACAAAAATCATTTGCATCAAATCATGTTCGACACGACCCCACTACATCATCTCATATACATACAAGAAGTAACCTCACATGTGTGGGTTCATGTTGTTTAGGGCACGACCCTATTAAAACTTGATACAAACAATGAATGACAGTATATTTGTTCTCGTATCATGTAGGGTATGACCCTAATAGAATCATATCATATATATGGAAGCTCAAATCATTAGGGCACGACCCTAGTAGATCTAGTAGATACAGAGAGTGACCCTATATGTGTGCATACGTTGTGTAAAATACGACCCTCGTAGAATCACATCATATACATGCGAAGGAGTAGACTCACATGTGAATTGAGATGTGACCTTATAGTTACCAACTCTAATATGTACATAGACAAATTAGTTGAATCAAACAGATCATCTTCACCCTTCAGCTCGAGTGCACTGATGGTCACATATGAATTGAGACGTGACCCTATAACTACCAACTCTAATATGTACACAGTCAAATTAGTTCAATCAAATCAATCCTCTTCACTCTTCAGCTCGAGTGCACTGACGGTCACATGTGAACTGAGACGTGACCATATAGCTACCAACTATGATATTTACACGACCAAATTAGTTCAATTAAACCAATCCTCTTCACCCTTCAGCTCAAGTGCACTGACGGTTCACGATTCATTCTTCAACGAAGCTAGCCCTTCGAGAATGAAGATTTGTGGTAACACGTGTTGAGAACATGACCTAATTTTATAAAGATCTACAAATTAACAGAAAGAAACCCAACGATCAAAAATGAAAGAAAAACGCTTAGGCCGAGCGACTAACCCGCTACTTAACCACTACATAGTTGCAAAATCAAGCAAAAATTTACTCCAACAGGTAGTTTTTTGCTATAAAAAATAATTGTATTTTTGTAGAGTAAATAAATAATATTAATGGATGTGATAAAGATACAGCAAAGATGAAAAAATTTAACTAAAAAAAGAAACGTCCCTAAATTTAGTAACAGTAAAATTAATTTAACTTTTAACTTATCACCATAAATATAGTTAAATGAAGTAGGTTAATAATTTAGTCCTATAACTCAAAAAACCAATAATAAATAGTAAATTACATTTTTTTTAAAATTCATATTATTTTTTATTACGATAATAAACTTTTTGAAGATTCACTAATTTATTAGACAAAATTTTACTCGGTTGTAATTAACATATATTCATTTTTATTGAAGGAAAAAAAATTAATTGATACTCCGTACATTTTGTTGATGTATCAATTAAAACTCGAGGTTCCACGAGAACAAAACATTCCTTATATAAGGTGTGGAAATCTCTCATTAGTAGACGCGTTTTTAAACCGTGAGGTTGATGACGATACGTAATGAGCTAAAGTAGATAATATCTACTAGCGATAGACTTAAATGGTTACAAATGGTATCGGAGCCAAACATCAGGGAATGTGCTAACAAGAACGCTGACCCCTAAAAACGGTGGACTTAAGCTGTTATATTAGTACAAAAGTTTTATTAATATCTTAAACCATCTAATAATAATAATATAAAAAGAAGAAACGGTTAGTACCTCGTTTTGCAATACTTTCGAACTTTCAAATGTCGAATTAATACTTTTAAACTCATTTTTTTTTTCCAAATACGTTACCACAAGCATATGGACAAAAAACGTGTTACCAAATGGACATGAGAATCAGAACATTCTAGCAAGATTGTACATTAGTAGTTGAGTACGAGTCAACACGTTTGGATTTAATACAAAAATAAAATAAAAATAAAGACACGTTTATATTTGTGTCATAACTTTGAGGAAACGAGTGAGAAGAAAAATAAAATAAAGAAAATAAATTTATTATAAATTTTTTCGTATTTTCATTTTTGAAGTTTATCACCGGTCACAATCGCACTTTTGATGGCACCGAACTTAAGATAGTGAAACACTCACTTTCTAGCTACAAGTGAGCTAAGCCAATTCATTCTTGTATAACCTACGACCAAGCGACATATGCTCGAGACTCTAGTTTTAGTTTAAGAAAATAGTTTTAAAAAACGGATAGAGAGATTAAAATTAGTGTTATATGTGATGCAAGCACAAAAACAACCGCTAATAAAATTAATAAAATTTTAAAAATTTAGAAGTATTTTTTAAAAAGTAAATTAGGTAAAAACAATAAATAAACAAATCTTAGTTGTATTTTTCTATAAATTAATAAATAATAATAATAAAAAAAACATTTTTTTTGAATTATGTTGTTAAATATCGAAACCTAAAACAGCTCTCCGATTACAGTGGCGTTGTCACTTCACCCTGTCGCTTCCCAGAAACAGTGAGAGAGATGTATCACGAACAAACTTGGGGAACTGTGAGAGAAAGGTTCAAGAAATTCCATACACAAAATTCTTTATAGTTTCAACAAAAAGAAGAACAAGAGTGGGTTTCTCTCACAGTCACCGTCTCTTCCGCCGTGCCGTCGCCGGACCCGCCATGCTCCGCCTCCCCCATTCCTTTCTCTCTCTACCCTTTTACTTTTCCCTCTCTTTATTGCTTCACAAGAATTGTAATTAAGAGAGAGAGAGAGAGACAGCGCAGTTTCTCTTGACCGAAGATCTTTATTAAAAAAAGGAAAAAAAGAGTGCTGTTTGTCAATTTTTGAAGCTTCCCTTCTTCCCTTCTCTCTTTTTCTTCGGTTTTTTTTTTAATCCCTTTTGCTATCTCTTTCTCTCTTTTCAATTTGTCAAACACCCATTTTCAGGAACTAAAAGATGGGTTATCTGTGATCGAGGGAAGAGCTGAAGCAGAGGTAAGGGGGTTCCTGTTCCTGTTCTTGTTCTTGTTATTGTTCTTGAGAGCTGAATGGGTATTTGTAACTTTGAGCAATTTGATGAGGATTTGGCGAAAAGGGTTTTCACATAAGGGGAAGATTAAGGGAATTAGGATCTACAGCTTGGTGTTCTTGAGCTGTGGTGGGTGGATATGCGAAACGTAATACGTTTCATGTTCTTGTTCTTCTTGTTCTTGTTGTGTTTTGAGCCAACATTTCAACAGGCGAGTTTGAGAACTGAGCGTGTAGCTCTTCTCAACCTCAGATCGTCTCTGGGTTTGAGGAGCAGGGATTGGCCTATCAAAGCTGACCCTTGCTCTGTTTGGAATGGTATCAATTGTCAAAATGGTCGAGTTATTGGTATCAATATCTCTGGGTTTCGAAGAACTCGTAGTGGTAATCTAAACCCACAATTTGTTGTTGATTCTTTGGCTAATTTGACTCTTTTACAGTCTTTTAATGCTTCTAAGTTCTTGCTTCCGGGTGTAATTCCTGATTGGTTTGGCTCAAGGCTCAAGTCTTTGCAAGTTCTTGATCTTCGTTCTTGTTCTATCATTGGTTCTATTCCATTGAGTTTTGGAAATTTGACAAATCTAGCTAGTTTGTATCTCTCCAAGAACAAGCTTAATGGGACGATTCCTTCAAGTTTTGGTCAACTTGTTCATCTTTCTGTGCTTGATCTTTCGCGTAATGAGCTCACTGGATCTGTTCCTTCGTCGATTTCATCTCTTGGGAACCTTTCTTTTCTCGATCTTTCTTCGAATCGTTTAGATGGGTCGATTCCTTCCCTCATTGGGTCCATTAGGAAGCTTCAGAATTTGAACCTTTCCAGAAATGATATCACTTCTTCATTGCCTGCTTCACTTGGGGACCTCAATAGATTAGTAGACCTCGATCTCAGTTTTAACGAATTGTCCGGGCTGCTACCTCGAGATTTGAGAGGCATGAGCAGCCTGGAGAGAATGATAATTGGGAACAATCTACTTGGTGGATCATTGCCAGAAGGTTTGTTTACTTCTCTTAGACAATTGCAGGCATTGGTTCTCAAGGATAATAACTTTACCGGTGCAGTTCCCGACGTATTGTTCTTGTCGCCTGGATTGCGTCTTCTCGACATGTCTGGAAATAGTTTCACTGGTATGCTGCCTAACTCGAGCTTTGCTTTGAATTCAACTGATGGAACATTGAATATATCTCGAAACATGTTTTACGGTAGCCTCATGCCAGTTATAGGACGATTCAGGGCTGTTGATTTATCGGGAAATTATTTTGAAGGCGGAGTTCCGAACTTTGTACCAAGGGATGCTACTCTTGAGAGTAATTGTCTTCAAAATGTATCTAGCCAGAGGACACTGGCTGACTGCTCCTCATTTTATACTGAAAAAGGCCTTAGTTTTGATAACTTTGGCGAACCGAACTCCAAACAACCTTCGTTAGTCGAAAAAACTGGCAAGAACAATAAAAGGGTAATCGTATTGGCGAGCGTATTAGGAGGGGTTGGATTTATTGTCCTTCTGGTGTTGCTGGTGATGCTGGTTCTATATATTGGTGGCAAGAGAGCGTCGAGGAATCAAAGGGCGGTCAGTGTAGGACCAATACCCCCTGGCAGTAACGAACCGCCTCCAGGCTTATCGATTAACTTTGCAAGTTTAGGTGATAGGTTTACAGATAAACAGCTTCTTCAGGCTACTGGTGGCTTTAGCGACGAGAACTTGATCAAACTCGGCCACTCTGGTGATCTATTTCATGGTGTCTTGGACAATGGGGCCGATGTCGTTATAAAGAAGATCGACCTGCGGAAGGTTAAGAAGGAAACCGAACTAGTGGAATTGGATTTGTTTGGTAAGGTGTCACATACAAGATTGGTTCCTCTTTTAGGACACTGCCTAGATAATGAGCATGAGAAGTTCTTGGTTTACAAATATATGCCAAACGGAGACTTGGCCAGTTCTTTGGTCAGGAAAACTAATGTTGATGATGAAAATATTCAGTCTTTGGATTGGATAACAAGGCTTAAAATTGCTTTGGGAGCTGCAGAGGGTCTTGCTTATATGCATCATGATTGTTCTCCGCCGCTCGTTCACAGGTACACGAAACTTTAGTTATTGTCTTTTTCTTTTTCTTTTGAGCTTTGTTGATGTAACAGCTCAAGCCCATCGCTAGCAGATATTGTTCTCTTTGCGCTTTTCCTTTCGGGCTTCTCCTCAAGGTTTTTAAAACGTATTTGCTAGAGAGAGGTTTCTACACCCTTATAAAGAATGTTTTGTTCCCCTCTCCAATCCCGACGTGGGATCTCACAATCCACCCGCTTTTGGAGCCCAACGTCCTCGCTGGCATACTGCTCGGTGTCTGGCTTTTATACCATTTGTAACAACCCAAGCCCACCGCTAGCAAATATTGTCCTCTTTTGACTTTCCCTTTCGGACTTCCCCTTAGAGTTTTTAAAACATGTTTGCTAGGAAGAGGTTTCCACACCCTTATAAAGAATGTGTCGTTCCCTTCTCCAACCCTAACGTGGGATCTCACAATCCACCCCTTTTTGGGGTCCAACGTCTTCGCTGGCACACCGCCCGATGTTTGGCTTTGATACCATTTGTAACAACTCAAGCCCACCGCTAGCAAATATTGTCTTCTCTGGGCTTCCCTTCAAGGTTTTTAAAACGTGTGTGAGAGAGAGTTTTCCACACCCTTATAAAGAATGTTTTGTTTCACTTCTCCCTTCTCCAACTCTAACGTGGGATCTCACAATCCACCACCTTTTGGGCCCAACGTCCTCATTGGCACACCACTCGGTGTTTGGCTCCGGTACCATTTGTAACAACCCAAGCCCACCACTAGCAAATATTGTCCTCTTTGGACTTCCTCTCAAAGTTTTTAAAACGTGTGCTAGGGAGAGTTTTCAACATCCTTATAAAGAATGTTTCGTTTTCCTCTCCAACCGATGTAGGATCTCACAGTCCACCCCCTCTTCGGGGCCCAGTGTCCTCGCTGACACTCGTTCCCCTCTCCAATCAAATGTGGGATCTCACAATTCATCCCCTTCAGGGCCCAGTGTCCTCGCTTTTACACCGTTCGGCGTCTACCTCTAATACCATTTGTAACACCCCAAGTTCACTGTTAGCAGATATTACCTTCTTTGGGCTTTTCCTTTCAAGCTCCCTCTCAAGGTTTTTAAAATGCGTCTGCTAAGAAGAGATTTCCACACCTTTATAAGGAATGTTTTGTTCCCCTCACCAACCGATGTGGGCTCTCACAGTTGATGTGTATAATATCAATGACTTGAGTTCACTTAATTGTCTTGTTGCGACTTCCACGGACGAGATCATATCACATCTCTCCTATTCTTTGGATAAATTCTTATAGTGAGTCGAGTCACCAAATATTTCGGTAAATAAAAGTCAAGCTCTGATATGTGTATATAAGTATTTGAACTTAGCATTATTGACTTTATTAACACTTTTTCTTTTGGTCATTGAAGAGATGTTCAAGCTAGCAGTATACTTCTTGATGATAAATTCGAAGTACGACTCGGGAGCTTGAGTGAAGTTCGTGCCCAAGACGGGGACAGCCACCAGAAACGAATGTCCAGGTTGCTTCGGTTGCCACAGTAAGTGTTTGTGCACCTTACCTGATAAATATTTCTTCGACTTTTCTCATCGGGATTACTCGATTAAGGTTATCTTCAAGCTTAGGATTGCTTGTCAGCAAAATTTATCAGTTGTTGCTTTGAGGGTGTAATAATCATTTTCTCTTTAAAACGTGCAGGTCATCTGAGCCAGGTTCTTCTGGTATGTTCATATTTACATTTTGTTTCCTTTCGAGATTACAAATTTTCTTTTGCCGTGGGTTGTTTGCATGTTTTGTTGAGGATCGTTGGGAGAAGAGTCTCACCTCGTTAATTAAGGGGTTGATCATGGGTTTATAAAGTAAGGAATACATCTCCATTCGTATAAGCCATGAGAGCTTATACTCAAAGTAGACAATATCATACCATTGTGGAGACTCGTGATTCCTGCCCTAACTTAGCCATGTCAATAGAATCCTCAAATCTTGAACAAAGAAATTGTGAGCCTCGAAGGTGTAGTCAAAAGTGACTAAAGTATCGAACAAAGAGTGTACTTTGTTCGAGGGCTCCAAAGGAGTCAAGCCTCGATTAAGGGGAGGCTGTTCAAGGAGAGGCTCTATGGTGTACTTTGTTCGATGAGAGGATTGTTGAGGATCGTTGGGAGAGGAGTCCCACATCGGCTAATTAAGGAGTTGATCATGGGTTTATAACTAAGGAATACATCTTCATTGGTACGAGGCCTTTTGGGGAAACCAAAAGCAAAGCCATGAGAGCTTATGCTCAAAGTGGACAATATCATACCATTGTAGAGAGTCGTGATTTCTAACATGGTATCAGAGTCATGCCATTAACTTAACCATGTCAATAGAATCCTCGAATGTCAAACAAAGTTGTGAGCCTCTAAAGTGTAGTCAAAAGTGTCGAACAAAGAGTATACTTTGTTCGAGAGCTCCTAAGGAGTCGAGCCTCAATTAAGAGGAGGTTGTTGGAGGGCTCCATAGGCCTTGCTCTATGGCGTATTTTGTTCGAGGGGAGGATTGCTCAAGATCGTTGGGAGTTAGGGAAACCAAAAGCAAAGCCATGGGAGCTTACAATATCATACCATTGTCGAGAGTCGTGGTTCCTAGCATGTTTGTTCGTGAGTTTATTAGGATGTGAATGTTGTTGTGATCTGAAGTTAGCCGCAAATAACCTCATATTTGCAGGGACTCAGACATCAGTATGTTCCTATGATGTTTACTGTTTTGGGAAGGTGTTATTAGAGCTAGTGACAGGCAAGGTGGGCATCAGTGCTACTCCTGATACCCAATTGAAGGACTTTTATGATCAAACATTCCCATACATCAGCATCCACGACAAAGAATTGGTGAGCAAAATCATCGATCCGAATCTGATTGTCGATGAAGATTTCCTCGAGGAAGTGTGGGCTATGGCTGTTGTCGCGAAGTCATGTCTGAATCCAAGGCCTTCGAGACGACCCCAGATGAGATACATCCTGAAAGCTTTGGAGAATCCTTTAAAGGTCGTGAGAGAAGAAAGTTCAGGTTCGGCAAGGCTACGAGCAACTTCTTCACGAAGCTGGAATGCAGCTTTGTTCGGGAGCTGGCGACAAAGCCTATCAGATCTAACGGTTGTACCAGCTGCTGCCACAACAACGTCAAGAGCCGTGGGAGGTAGCTTCAAACACTCAGGAACTTCAGGTTCACAAGGAAGTGGCCAGAACAACAGCGGTGAAGCTTCACGGAGAAGGCATTCAAAGGAAATATTCCCCGAGCCACCAGACGAGCAAGGCGAGAGAGGCGAGTATCATTACTAGTAAAGAAAATTCATTGATCTTGATTGATTCTTTGTCAATAACAAACACAGCAGCAGGCCATTCCAATTGAGAGAGCCTGATAACTGCTCGACCTGGCGGGTTGTTGCTTTCGGGTTTCGTAGTTGGAGAGGAGAGGGCGGCCGACGCCCCGAGCTTTCTGCCATGGAAATTTGTCATTCTTTGAGAAATGTATGGGTCTTTTGTTGTTGGTGATTTTATGTTTTGTGGAAGGCATGGGGCCTTCAAGCTTTCTGTAGGCGTTTCTTGTTCTTGTTTGTTCTCATTATTATTATTTTATACCTTTTTTTGTTCCATTTTTTCCCTCTTTATTATTTTTGTAAACTCTACACGATCCAGATGAATTTTGAAAAATGTATAATATTTTAATTTGAACTCAGACTCCAATGTCCTAACCACTCGACTATAATGTATGTCCCGACGGAATCTCTTATCATACATGATTTAGCTACGTGCTTAGGTCTATTTTATCATACAATTAATCTCTCTTAAAAAGAGATATTGTCCGTTTTGGTCCATTACGTATCGCCATCAACCTCACAGTTTAAAAACGTGTTTACTAAGGAGAAGTTTCCACACTTTTTATAAAGAATGTTTCGTTCTAGTTTCCAACCAATGTGGGAGGGATCTCACAATCCACCTCCCTTGAGAGCCTAACGTTTTCGCTAGCACACCGCTTAGTGTCTAGCTCTAATACCATTTGTAACACCCTAAGCTCATTGCTAGTAGATATTGTTCGCTTTAACCCGTTACATATCCCACGCGTGTGTTAAAGAGAAGTTTCCACACTTTTATAAAAAATAGTACCAACCACCCGAAATCTTCTAATTTCCTAAGTTTTAGTGGAGGAAGGTAAGATTTCAAAATTGTGACACAGTTAAGTATCTAATAATTTTTTTAAAATATAAATTTTAGAATTAAATGACTGAAGTCAAACGAGAGTAAAAGAAACATGTAACTATATGAACATTTCAAAACAAACGATAATCAATCTAGAAACCGTTCTAGTAGGTTTGATCTTCTATACCTATCTCAAAATAACGATTCCCTCATGGGTGGTTTGAAAGACAGTGAGCTACTCAGTTCTCATCTTAGTGAGTACAACACGAGCCCACAACAACTCAAATCCATGGAAACCACTACAATCGATGTTCTACTCTCTTAAGATTGCTTTTCAACGACAACAACTGAGCTAACAAGAATGGATGACTATTCAAACATTCACTGTGATAATATATGCTTATTTCTTCGATAATGCTATCTTATTCTATGAACACTACCCGATTTCTAATGGAGTTATGATGAACGGAGTTGGTACTAGAAAATTTTCCCTCATTAGCTTGTTAATTATGATGATTAAGATGAAAAAAACATGATGAAGACTTGATTTAGCGATGTTTACGGCTGTTCTTACTTGACCGCACGAACCATTACAGCCAAAAACAGCTCTAAATCCGCCACGCGTTCATCTCACCGCCGGTAGTCGCATCCGCTTCTTATGGGTACCGCCAAAACAATCCCTTTTCATCACAGCGTCTTCTTTCCGCCACCCCAAAATTATTATGTTACCCAAAAGAAATTTGATCCCCACAGCCCAAACCCATTAGCCACCACCTCCATTTTTACTCATTCCAATCCCTAAACCCACCATTGTTTGTCTCTCAGATCTGAACTATGGATGAGAAGCTGATACAGCGATTGGAGTCCGCTGTGGCTCGGCTTGAGGCGTTCTCCACTGGGTTCCGGCACGGTGGTGCACCGGAGAGTGATGAGGTTACGGTGTCCGATCCTTCGATTCTTGCTTTTGACGATTTCATGGGACAGTACGTTGCGAGAGTTTCAAGCGCCGCGGAGAAGATTGGGGGACAGGTTCTTGAGGCCACTAAGATTTTGAGTGAGGCATTTTCTGTTCAGAGGGAGCTTCTTGTTAAGGTTAAGCAAACTCAGGTTAGTGATAATCTCTGTTTTTCTCCTCAAATAATGTGATATTGAAGCTTGTGTTGATTTAATTTTCTTCTTAAGTTGATTGTTTTGGTTTCATAATCACTGTTTTATTCATATGGGATTGGATGTAAGCTGTGGGAATGATAATGAAAATCTTAGATGATTGGTAGAACTACTGAATTGTGTTGAGATGCTTTGTGGAAGGGAATGTTTTTGGTGTAGTGAATTAGCAATATCAGCTATCTAGTAGTCAACTCATGTTTAAGCCTTCTTGTTCGATTTGGAAATGAAAATGAAAGAAAAACTCACACGTAACGAAGCGGTTCGCTCCTTTCCCTCGTCAGCCCCCTAGATCAATGAAGAAGGGAGAAGTATATTCTTCCGAATCTTTGAAAGCGAAGCGCTATGTCGAGACGGGGTGGCCTAATAGTTTCTAGAATGCCGTTGTCATGATGTTGATTTGGCTTATGTGACTACGGCATCCGTGTAGCTCCGAATACGCGCATTGGAGCATCAAGCGAAGCGCTATGTCGGGACGGGGTGACCAACAGTCTCCAGAATGTTGTTGTCATGATGTTGATCTGGCTTATGCGACTACGACATCCATGTAGCTCCGAATGCGCGCATTGGAGCATCATCATGGTGGTCCTCCGAAAATATAGTACTACCAGATTCCGGGATGTAATTTTTATTACGTTTTAAACTGGACTTCTACTTTTGTTGGAATAAGTGACAAGGATGAACCAATATGCTGTCACTGCACACATGCCTTCTAATCTCTTTACAAGTCTCAATTCTGGATTAGTAGATTGTTTGTCAGTTGAAGTTTTCATTCTTGATACTCCTGAACGGCTTGAATGTTAAAGAAGACAGAACATTTTCGTCAAATGCTCTTAATGAATGTTATTTTTCTTGTTCGTTTTAGCAACAAAAACGAGAAAGAACAGGACTGTTATATACCTAAACGAGTGCCTAGTACTAACTTTCAGTAGAAATTTTTGGGTGAAGTTTGTTGCTCTGAAGTTCAATTGTTTATTTTGTTTTGCAGAAACCCGACCTCGCAGGCTTGGCTGAATTTCTGAAGCCATTGAACGAAGTTATTAACAAAGCAAATGCACTTACAGAGGGAAGGAGATCTGATTTCTTCAACCATTTGAAAACTGCAGCTGATAGTCTATCTGCTTTAGCTTGGATTGCATTTACTGGAAAAGACTGCGGTATGAAGTGTAGTTGAGTATATCCTCGTTGGGATGTGTAGTTCGAATCCTTTCGATTTAAGCCGTTCTTGATTTTTGTAGGTATGAGCATGCCTATTGCCCATGTCGAAGAAAGTTGGCAAATGGCTGAATTTTACAACAACAAAGTAAGCTTATGTTCCCTCTAAAACCTGCTTTTGCTAAAAAGAACATGTACTTTAGTTTGACTAGCGTGTCCTTGTTGGACACTTGGACACTCGACAGTTGTTGGACGCTCCAACAGTTGTTGGACACGTCTTATCTTAATGGATGTGTTTGACACTAGTTGTAGGAAGTCAATGCAGGTCCAACATTTGTTACACACGGATCGAATACTTGACTTTTTATCTTAAAATTAATGGTCTATTGTTGATCTGTTTACTTCTTCAATCAGGTTCTTGTAGAGTACAGAAACAAAGATCCAAATCACGTCGAGTGGGCCAAAGCTATGAAGGAGCTCTATTTGCCAGGTTTAAGGGACTATGTCAAAAGTTTTTATCCATTAGGTCCGGTATGGAGCGTTACTGGGAAAAAAGCTGCTTCTGCTGCCCCTAAAGCTTCTCCTCCTCCTAAAACGTCAGGACAGAGTGCACCTGCCCCACCTCCACCCCCTCCAGCTTCACTCTTCAGCTCTGAGCCTTCTCAGGCTTCATCTTCCAAGCCAAAAGGAGGAATGGCTGCTGTTTTCCAAGAAATTAATTCTGGGAAGCCTGTGACACTAGGTATTGCTTGTTTTCAAAACTCTCCCCTTCACTACTATTTGAACATCTCTAAGCACTTTTTCTGCCACAAGGTCTGAAGAAAGTCACCGATGACATGAAAACCAAGAACCGTGCAGATAGAGTTGGCATTGTGGGTTCTAGTGAGAAAGGTGGTCGTACAGCTTCTCCGTCGTTTTCCAAAACCGGCCCTCCAAAGTTGGAACTTCAGATGGGTAGAAAGTAAGTTTTACTCTTCGTAGTTACAAATAAGATAGTATTTGTGAGATCCCACATTGGTTGGAGAGGAGAGCAAAACATTCCTTATAAGGGTTTAGAAACCTCTCCCTAGCAGACATGTTTTAAAACTGTGAGGCAGAAGGCAATACGTAACGGGCTAAAGCAGACAATATCTGTTAGTGGTAGGCTTGAGCTGTTACAAATGGTATTAGAGCCGGACACCGAGCTGTGTGCCAGCGAGGACGTTGGGTCCCCAAGGAGGGTGGATTGTGAGATCCCACATCGGTTGGAGAGGAGAACTAAACATTCCTTATAAGGGTTTGGAAACCTCTCCCTAGTAGACACGTTTTAAAACCATGAGGTTAACGACGATACATAACGAGCCAAAGCAGACAATATCTGCTAGCGGTTGGCTTGAGCTATTACAGTGTTGGTACTAGGTGTCCTACTAAATCTTTCTATTTATACATTCAAACAGGTGGGTCGTCGAGAACCAAATCGGAAGGAAAAACTTGGTGATTGATGATTGCGATGCTAAACAATCGGTATATATCTTTGGATGCAAAGATTCAGTTTTGCAGATTCAAGGTAACGTTTTATCTCACAATCGGTTTACTCGTTCGACTCTTCTGATGAATCAGGGAAAGTTAATATTTTCACCTTGCTTCAGGGAAAGTCAACAACATAACAGTCGACAAGTGTACAAAAATGGGAGTCGTATTCACGGTTAGTATACGCTATTGGGTGAAAAAATGATCCTTATATATATATAGCTGATTTGGATTGTTTTTTTCACTTTCAAACTAACAGGATGTTGTGGCTGCATTTGAGATTGTTAACTCCAATGGGGTTGAAGTACAATGCCAGGTACTATGTTCTTCTCACATTGGATGGTTCTACGTCTCTGAAGCTAGTGGCTACATTTTTCTTGCATCTATGCACATAGGTTTTGTGAGATCCCACATCGGTTGGAGAGGGGAACAAAGCATTCTTTACAAAGGTGTGGAAACCTCTCCCTAGTAGACGTGTTTTAAACTTGTGAGGCTGATGACGATACGTAACGGGCCAAAGCGGACGATATCTGCTAGTGGTGGGCTTGGGCCGTTACAAATGGTATCAAAGCCAGACATCAGACAGTGTGCTAACGAGGACACTGGGCTCTCAAGGGGGGTGGATTGTGAGATCCCACATCGGTTGGAAAAGGGAACGAAACATTCTTTATAAGGGTGTGGAAACCTCTCCCTAGTGGATGCGTTTTAAATCCGTGAGGCTGACGGCGATACGTAACAGGCCAAAGCAAACAATATTTATTAGCGGTGGGCTTGGGCCATTACAAATGGTATTAGAGCTCAACACCGGGCGGTGTGCCAGCGAGAACGTTGGCCCCCCAAGTAAGGTGGATTGTGAGATACCACATGGGTGGAACAAAGCATTCTTTGTACGGGTGTGGAAACCTCTTCCTAGTAGACGTGTTTTAAACCGTGAGGCTGACAGCGATACGTAAAGGGCCAAAGCGGACAATATCTGCTAGCGGTGGGCTTGACATGTTACAGCTTTGGCTTTTAACGGAGCAATCCAGGTGTTCTAAATATATTTTACGAGAAGAGAGGCCATTAACAATATCGGATAAACCTTTAGTTTTAAAGTCATGAAGTTGCTAAGACTTCAGTTCTTTCATTTGCTGGTTATTCCAGGGTTCTGCCCCAACCATTTCTGTGGACAATACTGGAGGCTGTGTATTATACTTGAGCAAAGATTCTTTGGGGACATCCATTACGACTGCCAAGTCGAGTGAGATCAACGTTTTGGTACCTGGTGGAGCGTCCAATGGTGATTGGGTATGGTTCCGTGTTCCTTCCTCCATTCATGATCTTGATTTTCTCGTATCAGTTGATCGAATTCTTACGCAGTTCTATTCACTTTTTTCCGAGGAATATATTCGCTTTAAAAAGAAAGAAAACTGTTCACTTTTGCTTTGAGTAGTGATAAAGCTCTTAGATTCTGGGCCTTGAAAGCATTTTCCTTTCGTTTTATAGAACTTTGCTTTTAACAATGTCCTTGAAGCCTCACTGTGTTCTGCTACACATGTTCTTGATTAGGCCAAAAATATGGCATAGAAATGAATTTGATTCCATAGAATGATCATACTTTATGTGACAAACTCGAACTTTGCAGAACATTTCTAGATCGAACATGCCGATCTCTCATAAAAAGAATGTTTTTATTCCGCTAGAACATTATCTGGAAACCGTTGGGATTAGATTTCAACATGGATGTTCTTGTTCTTGTTCTATATCTGTAGGTCGAGCATGCTTTGCCGCAGCAGTTCGTTCATATGTTTAAGGACGGTCGCTTCGAAACCACTCCAGTGTCTCACTCGGGAGGGTGATCTCGAGTTTGAACAGATTCTCACTTTTCTTCATATCCGGTTTAGAGTGGGTTTTGTTTCCATTTTTTCCCCCATTTGATTCAATTGTCACAGGAAATTACATGTGGTGCTTGTTAGTGTTTGTTTCATTGGGTTCTTGTTTTCTTCTTATAAAGAAGCTTGGGTTCAGGTGTTCATGGCGGCTGTAGTGTTGTGCAATGATGTTCTGCTTTTCCTGGTTTGTTCTTGGTTTGTTCTGTATTTCAATATCTCGTTTTGAGAGAAGAATTACATGTCAATTATCATCGAATTATGCTCCGATCAAAATTTATCGATTTATGCTATAAATGACTTAATATCATTTTAGAAACAAAACTCATATATGAAATTAGTATTTATAAATTTAATTTTTTAAATAAATAAATTGATAAAAATAATATTTATTATAAATATATATATATATATATAATATTATACGAAAATGTTAAAATTTGAAAGAAGAAATTAGAACGTATATAATAAGTCTTTCCGTTTTAAAATTTTTATAGATTTTTAAACTTTTAAATTTTTCTCTCAAATTAAAAAATGTATAATAAATTTTTAAATTTTCAATTTGGTATATAATAAATTCATATATTTTTAAAATTTACATTTATATTCCACACAAAATTAAAATTTATATATTAAATTTAATAAATTTTTAGATTATTCAAAGTTTAAAATTTTAAATATATATTATTAAACCTTTTTCCAGGTAGGATTTATTAATTAAAAAAATCAAAGTTTATATAATCTATCATAATTTATCGTCCATTTTTTTGTTTGCGTTTATTTAGTCTTTAAATTTTAAAAATATCTAATAAATTTATTAACTAAAATTAATATAAAAAATACTTAAACTTTAAAATTTATATATATTAAGTTCAATTTATGACGCAAAAAATTCAAAATTAAGTCTATTAACTTTATATTTAATAGATTATTTTAAGTTTTAAGGAAAAAAAAAATTAAAAATTTTAAAAACTTTAAAATCAGTTAGATGAGAGGAGTTACACAAGATAAGGAAAACACTTCATAACGCACATTAATTACAAAATAAAAAACAATTATTTTATTTTGTTTTATTTATTTTGAGGTAAGATTTTAAATATTTGGCCAATAAAAAAAAAAAAAAAGTTAATATTTTTATTTTTACAGGGACATGTAATAACTATAGTGGTGGGCCTCCCTGTTGAAAAGGGCGTAGTCTTTTTTCCAAAGCTTCCAATTTTGCCCCTCTTCTGGGCCCCACCTTCCCCCATCTCTGAACTTGCGGACTTTCACACCTCACATTCAGAGAGAGACGGAGAGAGAGACAGAGAGACAGGCGGAGAGAAATACAGAGACCTCTCTCTATCTCTCTCTCTCTGCAATTCTGCGTTCATTTCATGTCCGGCTGATATTTTTCTCTCAGTTTTTAATCATGGCTTCCTCCTCCTTTTCACTCACTTTCGTCTCCTTCTCTCTCTTCGCCGCCTTTTACCTCGCCGGTCTCTTTCTCTCCTACCTTTTTCCTTTTCTCTTTTCACTCATTTTCTTTTCTCAATTCCTTCGTTTTTTGTTTCTCTTTTGCAGACTCTCAATCCTTCATCGGCGTCAACTATGGCCAAGTCGCCAACAACCTTCCGCCGCCGGTCTCCACTGCCGCACTACTTCGCTCAACTACAATCGGCAAAGTCCGACTCTACGGCGCCGATCCACAAATAATCAAAGCCCTAGCCAACACCGGAATAGGAATCGTGATAGGCGTAGCCAATGGCGACATTCCTGCCCTGGCCTCGAATCCAAACTCCGCTGCTCAATGGATCAACACGAATGTCGTTCCCTACTATCCAGCCAGCAATATCGTGCTGATTACCGTCGGAAACGAGGTGATTTCATCCATGGATCAAGGCCTGATTTCGCAGCTTCTCCCAGCGATGCAGAACGTGCAGAACGCTCTGAATTCGGCGAACCTTGGCGGTAAGGTGAAGGTGTCGACAGTGCACTCGATGGCGGTGTTAAGCCAGTCGGATCCGCCGTCGTCGGGGAGGTTCAATCCGGTGTTGGAACAGATGATGAAGGCGGTGGTGGAATTTGAGAAGGAGAACGCGTCGCCATTTGCGATAAACCCTTACCCGTTCTTCGCGTACCAGAGCGATCCGAGAGCCGAAACGCTGGCGTTTTGCCTGTTTCAACCCAACTCGGGCCGGGTCGACTCGGGAACCGGAATAAAGTACATGAACATGTTCGATGCTCAGGTCAGTCAACCGCTCCAATCAATTTCTCCTAATTTCATTTCAATTTCTTAATCTTAATTAATTAATTAATTAATTCCAATTCTTTCACCTTAAACACCGACGACGTTTACTCTAAGTCAACAGTCAATAGCCTCAAATTGTGACACGTGTCAATAACTTTAAATTTATTATTATTTTTTTTTACTTTTTTTTTAAACATTATAAATATAAAGGGTAGTAGTAAATATGTAATTTAATTCTCTTTTTAAGTATATAATTTGAAGATTTATTTAGAAAAAGCTTTGGCTAAAAATATTAACGTCACTTTTTTTGGGGGTTGCTGATGGTTATATTTTATTCTTTTGTGGTTAAAAAATCTCTTTCCATATGCATCGATATTAGCAAATTTATCATTTTCAGAATCAATTTTTTAGAAAGTAAACATCATGACGTTATTCATCAATTTGGGTTATTTTTTTCCTGGCTGCTAGATTTGGAATTTGAATACTTTTTATTGATCTTGTTGCTATTTATAGTTCTTGTGGTGTATTTTGATTTGGTTCTTGCTTGTGGGTACTTCCCGTAAATTGCTTCAAACTAAACAATGGGTGTAGATAGTTATGCGTTTGAAATTTTGATTGTTTCTGCCTGCAAGGTGTTTGTGATATTGCGTGAAAGAAATTGATGTGTAAAATCACTCGCTTGCTTGAATGCCCCTTCCTGATTTTACGCACAATTGAAGATTAAAAGCCTAAATTCTGTTTTATTTTCAACCCAAAAGGCCAAAAGAATTTAGAAGAAAAAATTGATCAGGTGGGAGATGTTTTGATTGTTTCTGTCTGCAAGGTGTTTGTGATATTGCGTGAAAGAAATTGATGTATAAAATCACTCGCTTGTTTAAACGCCCCTTCTTGATTTTACACCCAATTGAAGACTAAAAGCCTGATATTCTGTTGTATTTTCAACCCAAAAGGCCAAAAGAATTTAGAAAAAAGTGATGAGGTGGGAGATGTCATTCAACTTTCGAATCTTAGCAAATAAGCTTGCTTTTCCTGTGTGATGTGACCTATATTATGCTCGGTTACAGCTGGCCTGTGCCATTTAATGTCGGTAAGTCCTTCCAAGATATCAATTATTATAGCAGATGAGGAATGCTTACATATTATTTATTGGCCTAGAATTTTTCTTCCTTTTCTTTTTGGGTTTATTGAGCTGTGATATTAGTAAGAGCTAGTGTCCTTATGACAAGGATTAGAGACGTTTGAAGACACATTTCAAAATTTTGTATTCAGCCCTTCCATGAATGGATGGAGCAGATTAGAGATAATCCTCCAATAGGTTAAAAAAATTTTTTTGGCATAATATCCCAATAAAAAGGAAAAGAAAAGGTTTTCTCTCCCTCTCCTCTTCTCCCGTCCCTACTTACTCCTGACTAGTCCTTTTTTTTTTCTCTTCGATATGCCCGTTAGTCAGAAAGAAAACCAAGTGGGCTATAGTGATGTAAGAATTTGGTTTTTCTACTTTCTCCTTTTTGTTGAGAAAAGAAATCGGGAGACCATTGACTTGGATGGACTCCTGCGCCCTATTTTGAATAATTTTGTATTCAAGCCCTCGAAAGAAAATTTTTGTAACTTGAGAACTATTGGTTTTGGTGTGGGTGCTTATAGAAAAAAATTATAATTATCAAGGGAGCATGGTGGTGTGCTGGAATCCCCCCAGCACAACCAAACAAGCACATTCTGAATTTTGTGGCATTTCTTTCTGTGGTCTTCAACTACCATGTTTGTTTAAAACTTGTATTTATGATATCTTGCAACAGATTCTAATAATTTGAACTACTACATCCATTATTGGGAGCTATTATTATTTGGTCCATGACTCATATTGATTTCAACAGCTTGATGCAGTAAGGTCTGCCTTGAATGTACTGGGTGATTTCAAGGATGTCGAGATCTTGGTAGCCGAGACGGGGTGGGCGTATCACGGTGATAGCAATGAAGTTGGAACAACTATGGAAAATGCAAGAGCTTACAATGGCAATTTGATTGCACATCTTAGATCAATGGTGGGTACTCCATTGATGCCTGGAAAATCAGTGGATACATACATCTTTGCTCTCTATGATGAAAACTTGAAGCCTGGTCCCACCTCCGAACGATCATTTGGGCTGTTCCGTCCTGATCTAACCATGACATATGATGTTGGGCTCTCAAAGAACAGCCAGGTCAGTCAATGGTTGAATCATTGATTGCTAATTGCATCAACTTTACTTTGATGAACTTTATCCAATCATTTTACATCCATGAAGTTGACTCTTGAATGTTACAGACTCCTACAACTCCAACAACTCCATCCACCCCATCCCCAAAACCGACTGTGGCTGTTTGGTGCATGCCCAAGGCAGGTGTTTCTGATGCTCAACTTCAGTCGAATCTCGACTATGCTTGTGGGCACGGTATCGATTGTGGGGCGATCCAACCGGGGGGTGCCTGTTTTGAGCCAAACACTGTAAAATCACATGCTGCTTATGCTATGAATCTCTACTACCAATCTCTTGGCAAGAATCCATGGGACTGTGATTTCTCGCAGACAGCAACACTAACATCCACAAATCCTAGTAAGCTTTCTATTCTAATATCTCTTCCATTCAATTTCAGCCAAGCAATTAGGGAAGGACAGAAAGTTTTCATATTTTGGTGTTGTTTTTTTAGTTGAAGTTCTTACATTTGTGGATTTTCAGGTTATAATGGCTGCTCGTATACAGGCGGAAGCAGCTGAGAAGGGAGATCATAGTGCATTGATATGAGATAAAGAATTAGTTTTCCACATTCTAAGATGTCTTAAGACATTTGAAAACAAACGAATGAAGCAATAATCTAATTAATTGGCCAACAATTGGTCATTCTTAGTTGCCTTGTCCAACATTCTACAAAGCCAAAATGGCTACCTTCCTAAATTCTATTAATTAAGAATAACAATTTTTTTTAGGGGAAAAATCAATCCATGCCTTGAATTTGCTTGATATATGAATTTGAACTTCAACTTTTACTTTTTGTTCAATTTTTTTTTTTGCTAATTTCAACTATTTTGTAATAATGTGTAATAGCGCAAGTCCAAGTTCACTGTCGGTAGATTTTGTCCATTTTAGCCTGTTACGTTTCATTGTCAACTTTACGATTTTAAAACGCGTATGCTAGTGAGAGGTTTCCACGCGTTAGAAAGAATGCTTTGTTTTCCTTCATAAAAATTGGGGGCAATATAATCCTTACGTAAGGGCCATCCTACCAACTTTCAGGCATAACCTACCAACTTTCAGGCATAAAGATATGCTATTGACGTGGATGATTATCATAAGAAATTCTCAACATATCATAAGATTCCCTTTCTGGAAAATTCGCACTTTTCCAAATCCTGAAAACAGACGGAATTCTAGGATTTATCCTTGCTGCAAATACTTTTATGCATACCTCTTCCGGTTGATCTATACCATACTCGATTCTCGTATCATGATACACACTAGCTAACAATTCACACCCTTAGAAAGAATGTTTTGTTTTTCTTTCCAACCGATGTTGGATCTCACAATTCACCCCCTTGGAGGTGGCCTTATACCATAACAGCCCAAGCCCACCGCTAGCAAAAATTTTCCACTTTGGTCTATTACATATTGTTATCTGCTTTAGCCTATTAAGTGTCCACTTTGATCTATTACGTATTGTTGTCTACTTTAACGTATTAAGTATCTACTTTGGTCTATTACATATTGTTTTAGCCTATTAAGTGTCTACTTTGGTCTATTACGTATTGTTGTCTGCTTTAGCCTATTAAGCATTAGCCTATTAATATTGTTGTCTGCTTTAGCCTACTAAGCATCGCATCTCTCCAACCAATACAGAATTTCAATAAAAAAATTTCAAACACACGGATATCAACCAAATTAAACATCATTTATAATTAAGTTTGATTAACGGTACAAGATTGAGCAAATCTTCTCACAATTTTTAAGAAAAATTCAACTTTTGTGTCAATTTATTAAGTAGTCACCAATTTTGTAATTTATATATGCCTTATAATTCATACTTTTTCACAAAAATTTTAAACGGAATATAAATATTACCATGTGAGAATAAGATCCGAGTGTTAAAAATTTTGGTCGACAATATGTCATACCTTAAGTTATACTCGAATGACTTAAATAAAAATCTTTGGCTCATACGTGAAAGAGTTGAGACTCATTTCCCACACTTATTACGACATACAATGAGCACGGAGGTGTGTAGTACTGAAAAAATTTCCCAACTACAAGCTGAGTACATGATTTTCTCAATTAAAACAATATCCAAAATCCGCTCAATAAACGAACATCGGATTTCGTATGAACAGTTTTCTGCCAAAGCCTACTTGAAATAGAAGCCATTTGCTTCGTATATTGATCCACATTCAAATAATAACCAAGTTCGGAATGAAATTTATTGATTATCTGAAATGCACTTTTCTCAACAGTAAGGAATGTTTGGTGTCAAGATAAATTTGTGTTGTCTTACATATATCTGTGAAGCAAATTGATTGCTCCCCACAACGAATGAAATCTGCCCCCTTTCAGGTAATATGTGTCCTAAAAAGAGGGTAAAAAAATACGCTGACAAAGTAGAGGTTGGTTTCATGGTGTTGATCTTTCTTAAGCTGACGACCTCTTATCCACAGCAAGACTTGTGAAAGTATGTTCGATAACGGACCGACTTAGCCGCTGGAGATAATCTCGTGAATGAGATCACTGACTGTTTCGTCGTCGGATCTAACAACCAGCTTCATTGCTACCTCCCTTGAAGCATCGAGACCAAATGACAGACGGGCGAGAACTCTAACGTTGCCAATGAATACACCAGATAGTAAACATGTGTGTGACCGCAGATTGCTAGGGACAACTTCTGTTCCCTGGAAACAAAACAGAAATAACATCTGATTTTAGGATGAATAATATACCATAACAATAAGTTTTCTTGCTTTATTACCTAATTTATAGCAAGATTTCGAATACCAGACCATATTTTGTAAACCAAAAAAACTAGTTTTTGAAAACTTTTTGGAACAGAAAACCTAAAACAAAATACAAAATAATTATGAAGTAGGGCTTTAATTATCAAAATTCTGGAGCAAAGGAATAGGTTGAATTCTTTGGGCTGCAGGGGAAAAAGATTTGAAACCAGATCAAGTTCAACATTCATTTTAACATTGACTCATAAAAAACACCCAAGTTTCTAATGTCGTCGTTACAATGTAACTAAAACAGTATTACTAGTTGTCACCAATTCAGGAAAACATGGTAAAAAGGAAAACCTTGAGCCACTAATCATAGTTCATTTTCGAGATGATTTGTTTTCCTTCAGTGTTGACACATAATTGTACTGTTCTATTATCCAGAAGATTTTCATTAAGGTGGAAATATTCATGCACGTACGAAATAAATCCATATGCGCATACCTCACAAGGCTGCATGCCGAGAAGGTCTACGACAGCTCGCACAGCTTCAGCCAAGCTCCCTCTTGGGCCTAATCCATATTCATCTACTCGTTCACCATCTTCACCTACGCTTTCCCATGCATTCTTGAAGTTAGAAACTACTACTTTCAACATGTAGTCTGCTGCAACCACCTCGACGTCCTCAAGCTGGTATTCATCTTCAACGCCATCGTCCTCTGCCTCGCCAGTAGATGGATCAATCTTTTTCCAAGAAGGATAAAATAAGGGGGAAAATGAAAGATGTATTAGTCTAGAAAGACCAAATGGCAAATAAGATTTAAGAAAATAGATGGATTAGAATAAAATAGTCTTGAAATTATTTGAATGCTTGATTGCTTTCTTTTTCCTTTTAATCAGAAACAAAAATTCATTGATCAGCAATACATATGAAGGTTTCACGGATCAAAACTTCCCCTCAATTGGAAGCCCTAATGGAGCAATTACAAAATATTTGGAGGAAAAGTTATAAAGGAAATCAAACCAAACTAACAAATCCCGAAGACGTTCACGATTCCTAGCCTCACTATAGAACACTCTTTATTTCTCACAACCAAATAAGCCAAAGTGAGTCTTTACAATGCTGCCCCACAAAATAAAAAAACTTACTTGAATGATTTATAATTTTTTGTTTCTTTATTCTTATTTTGTTATATTTGTGAGTGACTGAGAATCAATGCCAACTTGTGTGCACTTCGACTAATCTTATGAAAGTATTGAGCTTGCTACATTTAATTGCCAATAGAACTTATAGATTAAATTCTCTCCATATAAATGCATTGTGGAATAAAAAAAAGTTTAGACGGAAGAGTCAACATTTGGACATAATTATAGGTATACCAGCAGAGCATGTAAATTTGGTATCTCATAAACAAAAATGTTCATCTAGCATTTGTACAATCATTCTTATTGTGAAATGCCATAATAGAACTCACAAATTGCGTCGACAACAAATAACTAACATAGACTTAGCACAACAAAATGATTGAGCATAAATGAGAGACTATATTTTGTCCTAATTAATTGATTTTTTTAGCGAGAAACAACTTCTCATTATATAATGAAAATGAATAAATATTCAAGAAATACAAACTCCCTTAAAAAGAAAAAATACAAACAACAAATACAGAATAGAGATTAGACAAGAAAATAAATAAATATTTTAAGAACCAACAACTTCAATTGGAAGAACTAGCTTGCAAATGAATGATGAAACTATGAATAAGGCCTCCACCAAACTGAAAAACTGATAGCTACTTTAAATCTTTAAAAATAACCAAAAACCGACAACCAGCCGACCAAAAAACCTTTTAAAACTCATCATAAAGCAATCTCAAAAATCTCTCCAGCTTTGCAAGAACTATTAACCCATTGAAAGGAACTTATGAAAAACCATCACCAGCAAAGAAAAAGAAATCTCCTCATGCAAGTCAATTAAAATATCAAAGAGAAGACAAAATAAAAATTAGCAAAGCTAAACCATGATGCGGTTTCCTTCTTGAGCCAAAGCAGGAATTTCACGAAACTCAAAGAGTCTTCTTGGCCATAATACCGAAATGACAAGTCAAAAGCTTCAGGAAGAAAAAAAAGAAAAAAAATTAAGAACAGTTTCCATATTGAAATTCAGAGGCTGAGTGACTGATTTCACACTACTCAAGCTTACCTTAGAGTCATCCTTAGAGACATGACCATGAGGTGGAGGGTCTTTTGTAGAGTAAATAACTCCTCTTGTTAAACCTAGAACTAGATCCAAAGGAGTGAAGACAAGATAATTGTTGAAGGGTAAGATAAGAGAAGAGGAAGGTGGTAAGGCGATATTTTGATTCGAGGGTGATAAAAGTCCTATTCGTCTTTCTTCAATTGAATGAGAATTCAAAGGATTTTCCTCCAAACATGGAAGAAAGGGCCGCTTTTTACATGAATAATTCAAAGGATAGGCATAACCATTCTTGCCCTTTTAACATTTGGGGGCTTGGAAATCTCAAAATCCATAATGGAGATTTCTAAAAGAGGCTCGGGATTCTCCAATTTATGGGGGATATGATTCGAAAAAAGAATTTTTGATATCTTTCACTTTCAAACTCTGAACACACCTTTTCAACTCTCTTTTCCTGTCCTAATTATTTAAATACTTCATCAAAGAAGGATGCTGCACACAAAATACAGGAAAATTCCATACCTCTTTGACAATGAACTTCAACATATTTGAGAACTTCCCAACAGCGGCGACTCCATCTGGCTTCTCAAATGCCACAAAGGTTTGCCCAGGTGTATTGTAAGGAAGAGATCTAAGTGGCTTGGATACTACTTCCGAGAATTCCTCTGCTTCTGAGGCATCCACAATAACATTGACCTGCAGAGGCAGACAATTATAAAAGCAATTCTCTAGCTGGT